ATAACGTTTCTATCAATAATGTGTTTCGGGACCCTTTCCTCCGTTTTATGAGCCGTCGAAAAGAAGTTCCTGTAAAACAGTCTAATAGGGAGTACAAGTGTTGTGTTGGAGAGTTTTTTCACCCTATGCCCCTGTTACCTAGCAGTAAAATAGGTACCTGGGTGTTAGTCAGCTGTCATGGGCTGCTTCCTGGGGGTGGAGGCCTGGTCGAGGACCGGGCCGCGGGGACACTAAAGCCCCGAAATCATCTCAAGATAAGATACATAGCATAGTAATTACATTCTTATAAAGCCACTAGTACGCGCAGCGTTTCGGGTTGCGATGGGTTTCGGGTTACGCTGGGTTTCGGGTTTTGCTGGGTTTCGGGTTACGCTGGGTTTCGGGTTACGCTGGGTTTCGGGTTACGCTGGGTTTCGGGTTACGCTGGGTTTCGGGTTACGCTGGGTTTCGGGTTACGCTGGCTTTCAGGTTACGCTGGGTTTCGGGTTCGGCAGGTTACGCTTTATTGTGGCAATACAATATATCTCAGTGGCAAGATGTAGTGCTGCTAATTCTGCATGTGTGGAGCTAACGTTATTCAGTCTCACACTTGTGGTCTGTGTGCATATGTTGTCTTTGTACATTCTGCAGTGCGCCCTGTTGACACTTGAACAGACCCATCAGCATAAGCATAGTGCTTGCGAGGCAGTAAGTTATTTATAACAGAATCAATAGTTTCAAGTGTTGTTGTCTTTAGGAATGCTGGGTTTTCCTTACTTTTTTTTTTGCTGATGGGGGTTTAAGACACTGGTATTTCAGGGTACAGATATAATCAGGTTGTTGTTGTTATAGATTCAGCTACTCGGAACAAGTTCCAAGTAGCACGGGCTATGGTGAGCCCGTAGTGGACTTACCTGGCACAAGAGCGGTGCCAACTGTATAATCAGGTGCCAATTTTATAGGTGTCGGAGCTCTGGTGGGCCTGACAAAAGCCTGTCATTTCGTATCCTGTTTCTATATATTGTTAGATATTAAGAGACTGCACATCCTCTCATGTGTACTCTATATATTTAAAACTCTGAACTGTAATGCCAATCCTGACCTTAAACGCTTTCTAGAAGGTTGTAACAGAACCCATGGGCACCACACCAGAAACAAATACCTATTTGATATTCCAAGAGTGCGACTTAACCAAACTAGAAATGCTCTACAAATCAAGGGACCCAGAATGTGTAATGACCTCCCCAATCATGTCAAAAACTGTCCCTCTCTCAATCAGTTTAAGAGGAAAACTAAGTTCTACGTAATAAACTCCATGTAACCTACCTTACCTTCTAAATGTCAACCCATGTCATACTATTTTCAAACAATATTGATTAATGAACAACTTGTATAACTGCTGATATCCACCGTGTATAAACTTGAAGAAAATCGTAGTCTTCTATTTATTTAGTTTAAATTACTTCTGCTGTTCTGTTATAATTTCTGCTATTCCATCCATCTTGTAATTATTATCGTTCTTTTTTTATCCTTTTTTCCCTTTTTCAAATCAATTTATGCTTTTGATCTCAATTAGTTTTAAGTTTTCGTCTAAGTGTTTTCCCCAGATCTTGCCTGAAATGCTGTGCGTATTAGTGGCGTTAAGCATAGTATGTACTAGTTTAGTTAGTTTCGTTCATTTATTATGCACCCCATACCCATCTTGTGGGCGGTAGTGGAAAGGGTTACAGAGGCACATAATGGGCTCAGGGACTGAACCCCACAATTCATTTAGCTATGTACTAGCTGGTTGATACCTGGTTGATTGTAGCTCTATCTAGATATCCAACATTCTGTTTGTAAATCATTTTATGCGCATGTACTTTTACCTGAATAAACATTATTATTATTATTATTATTATTATTATTATTATTATTATTATTATTATTATTATTATTATTATTATTAAAGCAAAACCAAAAAGTACCTAACTTCATCTATTTAGTTTCCTACACTGAGCTTTAAATTTGCTCTGTACCTAGTGGTACCCAATCTCCTAATTTTTATGTAATATCAAACAACCTTATCATTGTGTTCATTGCTGTCTTCTTTTATGTGCTAGCCATATGCTGTATTGTGACTACCAATTTTTGTCAACTACCATTCAAGCTGTCATTGCAATCAATCTTATATTGTTTCTGCTGTATTGTGCCTACCAATTTGTTGTCAACTACCATTTTAAGCTGTCATTGCAATCAATCATAGCTACCTATGTGCTTTAATATACTGTACCTATAATTTTCTCTCATCTTTTTTTTTTTTTTCATTCCATGTAATCTGTTATCATTTTTTGTCTATAAATTTTGCAAGTATTTACCTCCTTAAAATTTTCTTAGATTAAGGACCTGCCCGAAACGCTGCGCGTGCTAGTGGCTTTACAAGACTGTAATTACCATAATTGTATCCTCACATTCCTTATGTACATTCTTGTATATTCATAAATAAATAAATAAATAAATAAATAAATAAATAAATAAATTATTATTATTATTATTATTATAGTTCCAGTTCCCCAGTCGCCCACACAAAAAATATGATTAATTATAAAAATTAAGGAAAGTGTAGTAGGCCTATTGACCCATACTAGACAGCTCCTATTTATATCCACCCCAACAACAATATTACACCTATGCGTGCTAGTGACTTTACAAGAATGTAAAAACACCAAGCTATGTACTTTCATAAACCCAATGTATTTTCTCGTCCTCCCACACCACTCCCACTCTGCCCACTGTATATAAGTGATGTACTTTACAATAATCACCGCACCGGTTCAAGTGTATTTATACACGCTAATTGATACGTAACTATAAATTGAACTTGTAACAGCAGTTATAATTATGGTCCCTCGTGGCACAGTAGTAAAACATTCGTCAGGCGCTTCGCGAGCGCTTTGGCCTGGGTTCGTATCCTGGCCGGGGAGGATTGACCGGGTGCCATGCAATCCTTAACTGTTGTCTCTGTTCACCCAGCAGTGAATGGGTACCTGGTTGTTAAGCGATTTGGCAGATCGTATTCCTGGGAAAATTAGGATTAAGGACCTGCCGGAAACGCTATGCATGCTAGTGGCTTTACAAGAATGTAACAACTCCTGTATATATATATACGTCTCCGTGGTGTACTGGTAAGACACTCGCCTGGCGTTCCGCGAGCGCTATGTCATGGGTTCGTATCCTGGCCGGGGAGGATTTACTGGGCGCAATTCCTTAACTGTATCCTCTGTTTAACGCAACAGTAAAATGTGTACTTGGATGAAAAAACGATTCTTCGCGGCAAGGGATTGTATTCCAGGGACTTGCCCGAAACGCTACGCGTACTAGTGGCTGTACAAGAATGTAACAACTCTTGTATATATCTCAAAAAAAAAAAAAAAAAAAAATACAAAAAATTAACCTTGAGTAAAGTGTGAGTGTGTACTCACTAAATAAATAAATAAATAAATGTTTATTCAGGTAAGGTACATACATACAAGAAATTTTACAAAAATTTATAGATTTATAGATAGAGCTAGTATAAACAATGCCTAAAGCCACTATTACGCAAAGCGTTTCGGGCAGGAAAAACATTAAAGACTAGAACTTAATACTAATTGAGTTTAAAGTATAAAATGTGTTGAGAACAAATAAAAATAAAAAAGGGGGGAACATGGCTGAAAAAGCAGCACAAATACAATTAGGTCGACAAACAGCGTTGTTTAAAAAAACAGACATGGGTTGACAACAGAGGGGTAAGGTAGGTTACAGGGAATTTATTAGGTAGTGCTTCGTTTTTATCTTAAACTGGTTGAGAGAGGTACAGTCTTTAACATGGTTGGGAAGGTCAATCCACATTCTGGGTCCCTTGATTTGTAGAGCATTTCTAGTTTGATTAAGTCGTACTCTTGGAATATCAAAACTGTATTTATTTCTGGTGTGGTGCTCATGGGTTCTGTTACAACCTTCAATGAAGCTTTTGAGGTCAGGATTGGCATTACAGTTCAGCGTTTTATATATGTATAATACACATGAGAGAATGTGCAGTGACTTAATATCTAACATATTCAGAGATTTGAGTAGGGGTACTGAGTGATGTCTGGGGCCAGAGTTATTGTCCTAGAAGCAGCTTTGTGTTGAGTAATTAGAGGACGTAAATGATTTTGGGTAGTAGAACCCAAAGCACAAATACCATAGTTGAGATATGGGTAGATGAGGGAGTAATAGAGCGTCACCAGGGCAGGACGGGGTACATAATATCTGATCTTAGAAAGAATGCCAACAGTTTTTGAAACTTTTTTTGGTATATTTAGAATGTGTCCCTGGAAATTCAGCTTGCGGTCAATGAGAACGCCAAGGAATTTGCCATATATTTTGTTACAAATTTGGGTATTGTTTATTCTGAGATTTATTTGATTAGAGGATTTGTTGCCAAACAGAATATAGAAGGTTTTGTCAATGTTAAGAATGAGTTTGTTGGCAGTTAGCCAAAGATGGACTATATTTAGCTCAGTATTTATTATGGCATTTAGAGCAAGGCGGTCAGGACTGGAGTAAATGAAGGTTGTGTCGTCAGCAAATAGAATTGGTTTGAGGTGTTGGGAGGCATTTGGAAGGTCATTAATGTAGATGAGAAAGAGAAGAGGGCCAAGTATGCTGCCCTGAGGAACACCGATGTTGATGGGTAGGGTGGGAGAAATTGAATTATTCACAGGAGCCTGTCAGTAAGGTAAGATTTGAGGTATTGCAGGAAGTGTCCTCTGACTAACCCAACACACACTATGTACTGTCATAGCTCTTTAATATTGTTCATGGAGGGCAGACGAAAATGTACATGTACTCGTTAGCACGGCAACTGAATGGCCATAGCCTTCCTTGGTTGTAATTAAACTAGTGAGCCCTTATTCTTCTCTGTGATACGTGTAGTGCCAAGCCGTGTTTTGAGAGAGAGGCTCGACAATACAGCGTCGGGGTATGACGACTTGTGTGTGACAGCGAGAGGGAGCGAGATCCCGCTACTCAGTGTTGCTTGGGTGTGTGTCCGGGCTGGTCTTGCAGCTCCTCCTCCGCGCACCATCACTGGCATCATGACTCTCATCCGATTTTGGACCCTTCTCTCCCTCCTTTGTTGGTTGACGCACTTGACATTTTGTGCAGAAGATAGAGGTGAGTTGTGAGCATGCTGCCAGCGAGTTATATTTGCCTCTTACTGTCAATAAAGTCTGGTAATGATCATGTTAGGGGGAGATTGTTTACCCTGTGAGCGTCTGGGCGTTTGTTGACGTCAGTGGTGCCCAGCCCAGATGCCACTTGGCACTTTACACTCATATTTAACCGGTTCTTGTGTCTTAATTTAACTGTTACTTTGCTAACTTCCTTCTGTCAGCGTTAATATTTGAATGCGTTGTGATGTCAGGCGAGGGGAATGTGTATTACAGCTTATACTAGTGTGCGTGTGTGGGCGGTCAGGCACCCGGGTGTCTGGGCAGTGCCAGATGAGGTTACCAGGAGTGCCACGTCTCATGCCCCGCCCTCTGCCTCTCACACCCACGTACCCACTTCCTCCAGCCTTGGAAGACGTGGCCATTGTCACGTTATCGCTGCCATCCAGTCTTTTTAATTAATTAATAATTTATACCTCATTTAACCGAGGGCCACTAATACTAGTGGCCTCAATGAGGACAGGATGCCGGCGACTTGTCCAATGTCCTACCATTTGCCTTGATCTTTTCTATGTATATTTTAAATATCTACACAGTTTTGGCAGTTATGGGTATGGCGGGTAGGCGGTTCCATGGGTTAATAAACTTGTGGGTGAAAAAGCATCCAATGTTCTGAGTCCTGCATTGTGGCTTACTAAACCGTTGCTCCTTATTTGTGTTGTATCTAACCTTCTGAAGAAAATATCTAGATCAACGTTCTCCAACCTGTTCAGTATTTTCAGTCGGTATAAATTTTCTTAGATTAAGGACCTGCCCGAAACGCTGCGCGTGCTAGTGGCTTTACAAGACTGTAATTACCATATTTGTATCCTCCCATTCCTTATGTACATTCTTGTATATGCATAAATAAAATAAAATAAAATAAGTATTTTAAAAGTTTCAATGAGATCTGCAGGAGGTTATTAAAAAAAAATAAAAATAAAATAAAATGTTTATTTAGGTAAGGTACATACATACAATAAATTTTTACAAAGATTGGTTGACTTATAGGTAGAGCTAGTACATACAATGCCTAAAGCCACTATTGCGCAAAGCGTTTCGGGCATGATAAACTTAAATGACAAGCTTAATACTAATTCTTTATCCTGATAATCCTATATTCCTGATTCTTTATCTGAACTTACCCACAGGTAGAGCTGGAGACTCTTGGCTACTGTTTAACTGTTCCACACTAATCTGTACCTCAGACTACAACAGGAGTAGCAGTAATACTTTTAAATTTTTTTTTTTTTTTTGTCAACTACCATTCAAGCTGTCATTGCAATCAATCTTAGCTACCTATGTGCTTTAATATACTGTACCTACAATTTTCTCTCATCTTTTTTTCATTTCATGTAATCTGTTATCATTTTTTGTCTATAATTTTGCAAGTATTTACCTCCTTAAAATCTTCTTAGATTAAGGACCTGCCCGAAACGCTGCGCGTGCTAGTGGCTTTACAAGACTGTAATTACCATATTTGTATCCTCACATTCCTTATGTACATTCTTGTATATGCATAAATAAATAAAAATAAATAAATAAATAAATAAATTATTGGTAATAGCAAGCAAGATTGATAGGAGCATTGTAATTCATCATGTTAGTTTCTGTTAATTGGGTTTTGGGTTACCAAATGCTTGTAGGGAACAAAGATGTTTAAGGGTGGGCATAGATACATCACACAAGTGAAATCACATCTTTTGACATTTTGCAAGTAGAGTACTGTAGTTGCATGTTAAGGTAGTGCATGGAAGCAGTAGATCACCCAACCACTACCAATTATGTTAAAAATCAGAACTTTTTTATTTCTGATTTAACTTGATTAGCATATTATATGTACCAGTCCTGTGATGTACCATCATCATACTTTTTATTTAATTTACAGTACAGCATATTAAAACCCTTTTTTATAGGCTAATATTCCTGATAGTGTCCCCCCCAACTGAACACTGTATGCTTGGAATATCACTTTTTTTCATTAATAAATTACTTCTGTTTCAGATTTGTTGGTAATTACAGTTGCAACCAATGAGACCGATGGCTATCACCGATTCATGCGTTCTCAAAACGTGTATAATCTCAATGTGAAGGTGGGTTATGTATTATAAGATTCATTGTAAGGTATAAAACATATTAATTATATAAGAATGTAAATGTTGTATGCTTGAGCTTCCATCCACACTGGTAGGAAGATGTTTTGTGGACCTTTTTCTCCACTTTTCCATTCTACGTTGATGTAATATTTGTTTAAATTGTTTCCTTAGCGGCATGAATTGTTCTTGGTATAGGTTGAATATACTGTATATTACATGCTAATAAGCACTTTAGCATACTCAATATGTGGGGATGAGTTCCAAGATCTCACATGTTAAGCCAGGTTGTGTAAAATTGAGTTAAAGATTTCATGGGAAAGTATGCATTCCAAAACTAAGAAATGTGTTAAACACAATTGGCCATTATTAGTCTGCTTAATATAATCTACACAGCCCCTGACAAAAATGAATTCCCAATTGGCCTCTTCATTAACTTGAGAAAGGCCTTCGATACTGTAAACTATAACTACTTCTTAAACTTCACCACTATGGTATCTGAGGCCTTGCTCTGAACTATATTCATTCCCATCTCAGTGACAGACACCAATATGTAGCCATCAATAACATACGCTTCCCCACTGTCATTAACAGTAGGAATGCCACAGGGCTGCATCTTAGGACCTCCCTATTTTTTGTATACATCAGTGATTTGCCATATGTTTCTAATACTGTATTCTTAAACTATACTATTTTCTGATAATACTACCTCCTTATATTCTGACTGCAATCCTCACACACTAAATAAAATTGCAAATAATGAATTAAAAAGTCCATTCATGTGTATCAACCAACAAACTCACACTAAACATAGAAAAGACCTACTATGTTTTATTTGGGAGTAAATCATCAAATCGAATTCAACTTCAAAAAACAATGTTAACATTAGCACTAAAAAATAAGGGAAAGTTCCTTGGCCTATCCATAGACAAGAAACTTAACTTCAGCATCCACATACAACACAGCCAAAAAAGTCTCAAAAACAGTCGATATACTCTAAATTCAGATATAATGCTCCCCACTCTACTCTCCTCTTATTTACTATGTGCTAATCTATCCCTATCTTACATACAGTATCTGTACATAGGGTTCAGCCATTGTAAATTACCACAAGCCCATTATCACTTGGCAAAAATTTGCTTTCAGAACTAGAGCAAACTCTGTCTTAAGACAACACACAGCCCCCTCTGTTTAAGTCCCTTAATTAACATGCTAAATATACACTCCACACATTCTCATGTGTATTTACATGTTCAAAACTTTGTTCCTAATTGCTGATCTTGATCTGAAACTTTTCCTTGATAGGTGTAATAGAACCCATTATGGTCTCCTTATCTTTGCCATATCTTCTATAGTTTACATCTGTGACCTATGGTCGTGCTTATTTCTGGTTTGTAGAACTTGTACCTATTTTATTTTGCAAACATTTTCTGCAAATATGTACAGTGTATGTGGTTAACATATAAATCTTTTTCTTCCTATAAACTGAACTGAAATGTGATTTAAAATGCTTGGTTATTTAGATTTATTTAGACATCTAGTGTATCTATGTATCTAGTAAGTAACACTGGTAAATAAGGATTAATTAATAAATTCCCATTTGAAGATGAAATTAGCAGTTCTGTATTTTTGTGTAATCAAGCTATATGTGGATTTAATTTAATTTTTACTATCGCTTGCAGGTGTTGGGTTTAGGTTTGACGTGGGAAGGAGGAGATGTGAAGAATTTGCCAGGTGGTGGTCAGAAGGTCAAATTGCTGAAAGAAGAACTTCTCAAGTATAAAGATGATCCAAACAGAATAATCATGTTTACTGACAGGTAGGTTCACAGAAAGTAATCACACTAACATGATGTGTCGGTGACAGGTAGGTTGTTGAATGCCACAAATAAAATTGTAATGTTAAAAGGACCGTTAATATAAATCATTATGCACATTGCCATGTTCACAGACTGTATGACCCGAGGAATTGGGTTCTAACCTGTTATATATTACCTGCTATAAATAGCTCCTGTAGCCCTCGGATGATAGACTGACTATGCTCCTGTCTCCTGTGGACGATTTAATGTACCGCGTAATATTCAGAGTTCATGAATATTCTTTGTGGATGTCATTTAATGCTAGAGGTCTCTGGCAATCATTTGTAATGCTGGGAAAATATCCTGAAACCCTGAGCTATCTTCCTGTTGGATGCATCGCCATCCATTTGCCAGTTCCTTTGCTCAGAACTGTTGATACCATTCAAAATTTCATGAACTTTTATGGACCAGGAAAATATTTGTGATAAGACGAAATCAATTACAAATACTGTAGTTTACTTAAAAATTTAATTTCAGAATTTAACATTTTTAACATTTCTTCACCTCACGACTACCAACAAATTAAAATTGTTAAAAAAATTTCCCGACATCAGAAATAAATGTTTTAAGATATAAAAATAGGAGAAAGAATCATTTAGTTTTTAGTGCACTTGTACCCCACTAATCTTCTTGACACCTCTAGATCATTAAAGGGTGTATAAAGGTTACACTTTATTTAAAAACAGTGTACTATATGAAGGCCACACCCTTATAGATGTGAGCACATAAATGCTCAGGTAAGGTAAAGTAAAGCCGGGTAAATATGCTTGCATTTGGCTGAAGGTACATTGTCTCGGACTTAAACTTGGTATCTTAGGTCAATCATATCGTTTGTATTCTTAGATTTTGTCATGTCGTTATTTCATATAATGTACTGTACATTAGTAAATTATCCCTAATTCTTGTTATATTATTCCCAAATTACTAGTATTACGTATTTTTATTTCCATTCTTCATAATCAACTTCCATCACTTGTGTTACACCACCTCCATCACCTATTCCTCTCTGTACTCACATGTAGTGTACTCATTACAACTCTATATCGTGAGATATGCCAGCTCTACAATAACTCTTGATCAGTTATAATCAAAACATTTATATTTATACTAGTACGCCCTGTAGTACAGGGCGTACAACACACACCCACACACACAACTTGCTGCAACCCACATTATTGCATCACTGTCAATCTGTTTATTTCCCGAGAGATGCTGGTACGGAATCTCAGGTAGTCAGGTGTGATGAAATCATATCTGGTTGAAAATTTTAAAGCCTTGATAGTTGAGAAAACTGGATACACAGTGTCTGTTTATGAGAGCTCACTCTGCAGTTCTTTACATGCTGTTTACTCATTTTCTCATTTCTATAATATGTTTTTAATTATTTAATTTTACATTGCAGCTATGATGTCATCTTCACAGCTGGCAAGAATGTTATTCTGGAAAAGTTTGACAACCTTAATGCACGGGTTGTGTTTGGTGCAGAAGACTTCTGTTGGCCAGACAAAAATCTTGCTGCCGAGTATCCACGCGTTTCTTTTGGCTATAAGTATCTTAATTCTGGTGGTACGTGTTGCACAAATATTTTAAAGTCTTAATGAGTAATAATTTGAAGGTTATTGTGTAGTATACTGTTTATAATTACAAATATTCAGCTGGAGTAAAGGTATTTAGCTTTTGGCAGTGAAGCAGCAATTACCATAATTGATATTCTTTGGCTAATCATTTAATTTTAATGCAATTGTAATCATTATCTTATTTTTTTTTTTGCAGGATTTATTGGGTATGCTCCAGAAGTGTACAATATTGTGTCATTGTATGACATAAACAGTGGGGATGACGACCAACTCTACTACACAAAAATATTCTTAGACGAAAATGCGAGAGAAAAATACAAGATCAAACTCGACACCCAGGCTAATATATTTCAAAACCTTAATGGACAGCTCAGTGAGTATAAAAGAATATGCAGCTTGTATTAACTCGTCAACTGAACAGGTTGATGAACACTAAACAATGAGTCTGGTAATAAATATTTACAATTTTATAATTTCATTTTAACTAGTTAATGCTAATTAGCTACAACAGATGTTTGTCAAAGACTCCATCGACACACTAACCCTGAACTCTTTTTTTTTTTTCTTCAACCTCTTGCATTCTAAGACACTGGAAGAAAAGCTGCTTGATGTGTAGTGGTCAACAAGGGTTACCAGACAAGGAATATGAAACACAGATATAACAATAACAGCTATATTGACTTTTTTGTTTTTGGTAGAGGAGTTAATTGTTAAGTCCTCTAATTAGAGGACTTTGACAGTGAACATCAAGAGTGAAAATAGAGGGGAAGTGTAAATGGAATGAAGTCGGAGTGGATTAATGTCACTAGTGGTGTGCTGCAGGATTCTTCTGGTCCACTGCTTTTCATAATTGACATCAACAACCTGACCAGTGACCAGTAATATCAGCAAGTTTGTTTATGTGCCACAGATGGGGTCATGTGATGGATACAAAAGGTTCAGATGAACTACAAAAACTCTAGTAATGAGTGAGAAAATGGCAAATGCATCTTAACATTGAGAAATACAAATTCATTAACTTGGGTAAAGGTGCCACACAGTCATAAACCATTCCTCAAATAGGATATAAAATATATAAGTATATTAAGTCAAACTGAACATTTTTGAGTTTGACCTCATACAGTACAGTGTGTGTGCGCGCGTGTACGCAACTCTCCCCTACCCAAATTATCTCCAAAGTTTATGTATTGTACCTCAGTTGCAGAGCTTATCTATGGTATTTTTTCTTTGCTTAACTATTTTTGTTATATGGTACAGTATTTCCATTTCATTTCGGTCTCACTTGGCGTTTGCAATTAATATGGAAGTACTGTAACACAAAAGAAAGGGTCCAGTTTAGGATGAATTAATTATTTATGCAATCAGTGTTTTTGTAGTCTGAATACTGTATTACACTGCATACTGTAAGTATTCAAGCATCATTGTCTTTGTCAGGTGATGTGTCCTTGAAGTTTGAAGACGATGATGTCAAGATTATTAATACTGTGTACCAGTCTACTCCAGTGGCCATTCATGGAAATGGACCGTCAAAGATCCAGCTAAACTCTTTGGGAAACTATCTTGCCAAGTCATGGACTCACGACGATGGATGCCTTTCGTGTCGTGAAAACATTCGTCGTTTGAAAAATTTGTCGGTAAGCATATTTTTGTGTTGTCAAAAAAAGTATAAAATTAGATAATAACGATTGTTGTAATTCACCATCTTCTAAACAATTTTAGAAATCAATTTGTGAATGGGAAATATTTATTGACAAAGATGATACAGTCTGTTGGCTCTGATTGTTAAAGAAACTATGTTGAGATGTGTTTTCCTCAGCTGGCATCATGTAAATGTGTAACATGGGGGTACGGGGGGGGGGGTAATTAGGTAGATAACATGTAATATACTTATACTCCTGTACTTACCTTACTTGTACTACTGTACTTACCCTATTTATACTTCTGTATAAGTAGTATAATACAAGTAAGAGTACCTTACTTGTACTCCTGTACTTGTACTCCTGTACTTATACTCCTGTACTTGGCTAATTTATTCTCCTGTACTTACTGTAATTTATACATATCATAAATTATCTTTAGCCTTGTACTTGCCTGTTCATTTCTATGGGGGGGGGGGGAAGTAAAGAAAGCCATCCCAATTCTTAATTGCAATCTTGACCCATTCTTGCAACTATTTTCAAGTTTGCTACTTTTGACTGGGAGTACTGAACTCTTACAGGAGCTTCAGTCACTGAGAGAGATCTGAATTTATTACACAAGTGAAACTGTCTTCCCCTATCTACCCCCTTGACATATCACTGACAGATTGATGCTGTACTCTTAGCTTTCTAGATAGATTGATGCTGTACACTTGGCCGTATTCACCCAGTATCAGACAAAATGGTATCTGGATAATGTGTGTACCCACCAGGGTCAAAGGGGCGACACTAGCCTATATATAACGAAGTCTGTCACTGTTTTCCAGTCAACTTACTGGTCTCTCTGTTGCTCTTCTGATCTTTTCTAACTCATATGCACTAGTATTTATATGCAATCAGAGGGCTAAGCTTATCCTCATGTACCTTTTGTGGTGGGAGAAACACATCATGTGATTGCCTTAGGCTACTGTGTAATTACCGAAGTGTAGTTACAGGATGAGAGTGGTGTCCCGTCTTCCCAGTACTCTTTGTCGTATAACGCTTTGAAAGTACCGACGGTTTTGGCCTCCACCACCTTCTCACTTACCTTGTTCCAACCGTCTACCGCTCTGTTTGCAAAAGAAAACTTTATCATATTTTTTTGACACCTTTGTTTCCTTAGTTTGAATCTGTGTTCTCTTGTTCGTAAAGTTTCTGGTTTCAGGAATTCCCGTTTGTCAATTTGGTCAATTCTTGTTAGTATTTTGTAAGTGGTGATCATATCACCTCTTTTTCTTCTATCTTCTAGTTTTGGTATGTTTGATGCCTCTAGCCTCCTCGTAATTATGGGACTCTGTCAAAATACTTTTTTGGGTCCCAAGTTCACAGTCAACCCAACCACCTCTTTCCTGTAGTATCTCTGTGGCTTTATCATAAGCTAAGTAGATTTGTTACAAAGGATCTTCCTGTTCAAAAACCATACTGTGTCTGTTATTATGTCATTACTGTCTAGGTGTTCAGCCCATTAAGGTTTTAGGTATTGTTTCTAGTGTTTTGACTACCACACTTGTTAATGATATGGGTCTATAATTTGGAGGATTCTTCTCGACTACCATTTTTATAGATTGGTATTATGCCTTTTTCCCTATGTCTGCTAAGATTCCTGTGCACAAGTATGTCTGGAATATTAATTGGAGGGGAATGCTCATCTCGATTACACATTCTCGCAGCACCCAAGGTGAAACTCCATCAAGTCCAGCTGCTCTCTTTCATTCTAGCCCCTTGAGTAATTTTTCCACTTTGTCATGAGATACCTCTATGGCGTGCTCTGGAATTGGTACCGAGTCCGACTCTCTGAAATCCTCATTTTGTACAAACACACTTTGGAACTGTTCATTTAGCGTTTCACACATTTCTTTTTCATTCTCAGTAGTCCTGTTCCCCATTCTCAATCTCTGGATTTTATCCATTACATACAGCTTGCTTTTAATTAATTTATAGAAAAGGCCTGGATCTGTTTTACATTTGTCCACTATACCTTTCTCAAAGTTCCTTTCTGCCTCTCCTCACTGCCGTGTCAGGCTACTGTGTGCGCCTGCCTTTGCATACACATGGGACAGCGCCAGGATGCAGGAGTCACACTGCAACAGGCTACAGGAATATCCAATTGCCTTAGTATTGGGAACAGTAGTACTGTATTGGGATATCCAGTTGCCTTAGTATTGGGAACAGGTTGAGGGCTTGCTTCCTGTCCTGAAACAGGAAGCGAGATTTTTTTTTTTTTTACACTTTGGGTTTGCTGGAGGAGGGTAAGAGGAGGGGCTAAAATATAAGTGTCATGGCCAAAGGGTTAAGGAATAGATATTGATTCATATAAATAAAACTCATGCATTGGGCAATTTAATTTGTATGATAAATATTTTATACTAATTTTGTCCTTTTTTTTGTCTTTCGCAGAAGGATGAGTATCCTCGTGTGCTGATTGCAGTGTTTATAGTGAAACCAGCTCCATTTCTGGAAGATATGTTGGCTAAGATTGTCAACCTTAATTACCCAAAGAATAAACTTGATATACTTGTTTATAATCAGGTGAGGTTCTTTATTGTTGTTTAGTAATATTGGGGATACAATTTTTTTTTTCTGTGTTTTTGAATTCCCCCCAAAACACACAACATGAAGCCAGTTTTGGGATAAAATGAGCAGTAATGGTTGAGGTTGAGTGGACTTTCAGTATTTGGAATTAGTGTTTGACATGACCACCCCTACATAATGATGATGAATGGTGAAGTGCCAGATTCAAGTGTACTACCGAGTCCCTCGATACATGAACACCGGAGGATTAAACGGTAAGAGAAGTTCACTATAAAAAGCACTAATGCGCAGAGCATTTTGGGCACTTGCACAAAAATAATTAGAATAGTATACAAGTAAGAGAGTAATACTTAAAATTGAGATACGATAATATTTTGAATAGTTGAAAAGATTTAGACAATGATACGCAATTTTTTATATGGTGCTGTATTTAGAAACTGCAATTTCTTCAACAATACAAACATAGTAATGAATTTTATAATTTTAGGTATAATATATAATTAGATATAATGATTTAGAAAATTGTAATATTTAGAAATGTCAGTAGATTATTTAGTAACAGTACATGTACAGTAATTAATGTTTACAAGAACAACAAAACACAGGCTGATATGTAGAATGAGAAAAGTTGAAAAAAATTTGTTAAATTAACTTAATTAGGTAGTTCTTAGTTGGTTTTTAAACTGGTTGCGAGAAGTAGAGTTTTTAATCTCATAAAGGAGGTCATTTTATAGTTTAGGACCTTGAATTGCAGAGCATTTCTGCTTTGGCTAAGTCGCACTCTTGGAATATCAAATGGTTAGTGGTTTCTTGTGAGGTGCCCATGGGTTCTGTTACAGCTCTCTGGGAAGCACTGAAGGTCAGGGTTAGTATTGCAGTGCAGTTTTACAGATGTAGAGCACACATGAGAGTGTGCGGTGACGTGATATTTAACATCTTGAAATATTCCAGTAAGGGGGCCAAATGCTGTCTGGGGGCTGGTTTGTCTTTGTTCTAATTGCTGATTTATATTGAGTAATTAGGATCAAAGGTAATTTAGGGTTGTAGATCCCCAAGCATAGATAGCAAGTAATTTATTTATGGGTGCTGCACGACTCCAAATATTTTTACTTAACATTTGTTCCGGCCATCTACCACACTGTGGTAGACAGGTGAAAGAAGTTAAGTAGTTTCAAAGCATTATATGACAGAGTACTGGGAAAACGAGACATCACAAGCGTAGCTTTCATCCTTTAACTACACTTATTTAATTAAATGTATCATGACTTTGTTCTGGGAATCATCCAGGCATCTATAAAAGTTCAATAGGCCAGGAGCTCATAAGGTCTAAGCAAAGGGTTACACAGAGATTTAGCAATACTCTTCAGCCCAAAGGCTTTTAAAAAGCTTTTCTTCATACTTGGCAGTATTCTGTAGTTTAAGACATTTTTATGAATTTGCAAATGTTGGGCTCACTATTGTAATTGCAACCTGTCCTCTTACAAAGAACGTCGCTTTTTGCTCATATGCGTTGCATAAGGCCAAAAATTGTCGCACTAAAAAATGGATCAGGAAAGTGACGTACTGTCCCGTTTTCTGTTTTGGGTCCTCTGGCTTAGTCTAGTAGATTAGGAGAGGACACTTTAAATTGACCATTTTCTTGACGTTGGGAAACCTTAGGACGATGGGCTGTGTAGAACCAATAATAACATTTCCATTTTCTTTTTTAAATAGGCAAAGTTACATGAGAGTCTTATAAAGACTTGGGTGAACGACCAAGACTCTGCTGGATATCACTCTACAAAACTGATTTCTACTGATGAGAACATGAAGGACTGGCATGCTCGTAACTTAGCAATGTAAGTGCTGTCACTTAGCATCATCGTTAAAACATTGTACAGTAATTCGTTTCAAAGTGATAATTGCATAACTGCTTCATGAATTTGTAAGATCAAAATGTGTGCAGCATTTTGTATGTGTGATATATTCATGGATGATTGATTTGCCATTGTGTATAAATAATGATATACTGTACTGTATAGTGAATTTGAAGGTGGGAGGAAAAGGAAAAATAGGCATTTTAGTATACTGTAGTTTATTTCCTCCCACATATGTGGCCATTCATTTACAATGGTAACAGCATATATACATTGTCTTCTGTCCTCCATGGACAGGGTTAGAGATCTATTAGACATCATATAGTGCAGTGAGTTACTGAGCACCCAATCTCGAGTGATTGCAGTGCTTTTACAATGCTAACCAGCATACATTCTTGTCTGGTTTACATAAATAAGGTTAGAGATAAGTTTTACATATATAGTGCGGTGGGTTATTGAGCATTCAACCACACAAGGTGACTGAAATGTTTTGGAAGAAGGTAAGCAGATAGTACTCCACCAGTGAAGTATAGTGAATGTGTGAGGAAGCAGGAGGAGGAGTATTAGCTCCAAGGGCAAAGACTGACTGTGGTACCAGAGGAGGATTCAACTCCGCGCAAAATGTAAAATGAGAGACTCGAAGAAATTACAAACCCCAAGATAACCTAAAAAGAGAAGGAAGGTAAACCAAAATCTCTACTTGGAAACACGAACTGAAAGAATCATACTTTTAACCACTGCACTGTACATTAGTTTAATGTGATAAATCCTCTGTGTGCATAAAAAAAATTATTCTTAATTATTCTTCCCCCTCCAATCTTTTTTGTCTTTCTAATACCAGTATTGTTAAAATGGGCTCCCTGATCATGTGAAACTAGAAAAGAATATCGTACATGACATACTTTGGTCATGATGGGGCGAGGAAGTGTGGCAATATTCAGGCATTGAGAGTGTAGTCACTGGCTGGGGTCTTCTCCAGCCCTAACGTGTGGCAGGGGTTGCCGCAAAGGTGTTGTTAGATAATTATTTCAATATGTCTGACCAGTTTTTTTTATCTGGTTTTTGCAGTCATATTATTCAATAACATGTAATTTGAGAAATTTGTTACAATGGTTAAACCATGTGTGAAACATCACTATGCTTAAATATGGTGCTCACAGCCAGGAGGGATGCAGACAAATTTGTTCAAGATAGCGTCTGTTTACTGGAGTCCTGAGGAACAGGATGTGAGCCCCATGTGCCAGTGGGAGTTTTGATTCTTAGGATATACTAGGAAATGTGATATGCTGGTGTGTGTGCACACTTTTTTTCCCATGATGTAATGGTGTGTACAGTACAATGGTTAAAAAAGTCAAAACACTTAATAGCCACAAGCAGAGAAAGCATCCCATGAGAACCATTGATCACACTTGAGATTGCAAGCACACCAGGATGAGCCAGGACCTGTCCACCTGCAAGAGGGGTCACTGGAAACATAATGGTGCCAAACGGAGCGCAGTGCTCCTCTGCAACTCCTCTCTCCTGCAGCTGTACTGCCGTCTCCTGTTGGTGCTTTTTCATCTGAAACTTGAGCACCTTTTAGGCAGTGTAAATTTAGCCTGCTAGGTTTACCCTCAAGGCCACGTATATCCGAAAGCATTTTATCAGGTTGCCAAGTCCCCATGGGCCCTGATGAGGGTTTGAACCTACGCACGGGATGTTCCCAGCTGCGCCTTAGTCAACTGTGCCATGACATAGTAAAAGAATTGCAACCTGGAGTGCTATTGCCCTCATTAGGATGCCGAAGCTTCTCCAAAGCCCAATCGGGTTTTCACACAATTCCCCCATGCACACGGGAACATCCCGTGCATAGGTTCGAACCCTCATCACGGCCCTTGTGGATTACTTTTCCATTTGCATCTTTCCTGGAAGTTTCAGTTCAATGAAGCTTGACAGGCCTTCCACCTCTGTCTTTTTGAGGTCTATCTTCTGATTCTAACTTGATCACCAGTTGATACTATTGCTTCATACTGTATGGCCTTTACAGAGCCTACACCACTAACATTTGGAGTGGGTGTGTCCTAGCCCCCATTTCTTCCGGCTATCTCGGGTGTTCTTTCACTTCGTACACCTTGAGAGCCAAGTTAGCTAGCGGCATGGGTCTTCTCAAGTCCCCCAAAACATGCATAATTCAACAGTAATCTGGTAATTATTATTATTATTTTTTTTGTCTTGCAGAGATTTATGTTTAAAGAATAGCTGCGATGCGCTCTTCAGTGTAGATGGAGATGTTCACCTTGACAATCCTGAGACCCTGACTCTACTTCTAGAACATAATCGGTTAGTAAAAATTACGTATTTTCTTGTCTTTATAATATACTTTACATAAGTAAAGCACGAGTCTTTCTTGAGTTCTTAGTAATGAATAAGAAGTATTTTTGTCATTTAAAGACTTCTTGTTCATTTAGTTGCAAAAGCAGTCCTATTAGTCAAACTTTATTCATGACCTGAGGCTGATGAGACTAGTATTAAAGGTGGTTTTCTGCTTGTACATTTTTTGCTATACAAAATTTACATTTTTAATGAATCTGTTCTGCAGGTTTTAGTAAGCATTGATGCATTATTGTACTTGATGAAGGTATCCATATAGTGTGTTGCTTTGTGCATACCTTTCAGAGTCTACAGGTTGTTACATTTCTCTCCTGGACCCTACATTCTCGCTAATGGTGTCTGTCCACTGGCAGGCTGAGCCTAATTAGTAGGATGCAGATCATCAAGGTGATTAATGTTTTCATTCCAAACATCATGAAGCTTGTCATGGATGTTTGGAAGCTAATGTTTCTTCAATCCAGTGTTTTCAATTGCATCATGTTATCAACCTTCATTGCAAAGACACTTTTACCTTCGAAAATAATAACCCACTATTTTAAAAACACAGGAAAACGTACACTGTATGTTTCGATCCCAACCCGGGATCCTTTTCAGTGGTGAGCGAGAATGATGACTGTAGACGATTTTATGGCGGGAAGTCAGGTGTCGTGGGGAAGAAGTGTAAGCAATACGTAATAACCTCCTTGTTTCGTAATCACTCACCAAATCTGGTAACCACTGCCCTGAGGAGATATTAAATTTTTTTTATTATTCATGAAAGTAGATTCTATTATTTTTGTTTCGAAGTCAGTGTTTGGGATAAATCATACTAGAATTACTCCACAATTTTGTGATTGGTCATGCTTATATGTTTATATAATGATGAGCTTTCTTTTCCATAATTCTTGTAATTTGTAATGATTGTAACAGTTACAATCCAAACAAGCGATTGTATGGCCAAACAAGTAGGGATCTAAAAACCCGCATCACTGAACACAAGAGGTCTGTTAGATATGGCCAAGAAAGCTCAGCATTATGTAAACATATAAGCGAGACCGATCATAAAATTACATGGGATAATTCTTGTATAATTTATCCCCAACACTGTGGCTTCCAAAAAAAATAAGAGAATCTACTTTTTAGAAACAATAATCCAAATTTTAATATCTCCTCTAGGCATTGTTTACCAAATTGAAATTCAAATGTTTATTCAGGTAAAGTACATACATACAAGGTGTGATACAAACATTGATGGATTTATAGATAGAGCAAGTACATACAATGCCTAAAGCCACTATGACCAGATTTTGGTGAGCGATTATGTAACATGGAGGTTATTATGTATTGCTTACACGTCTTCCCACGACACCTGACTTGACACCATAAAAGCACCTACAGCCGTCATTCTTGCTCACTGCTAAAGAGGATCCCGGGTTGTGATGGAAGTATACAGTCTTTGTTTCCTTGTGTTTTCAAAAACTTTCTATTAAAATATTGGGTTATTATTTTAATTGATTAGTGCGCTGTTGCACTTCGTTCTAATCTTACCTTTATTTAGCTCCATAAAAAGACTTCCAGAGGTGTGATATATATACGGAAAACGACAATGTCATGTTGGGTTTGGAATTTGTAGGCATAAAGTTTTAATCTCTTGTGAATCACTTTATGCACTGACAAAAATTGTACTGTATGAGCTTGCTTATCCAGATTTAGCCTGACTGGATATTTGGGTTATCTGGTCAAAATCACATTTGGATAAGTTTATGGCAAAACTTGACAATATCTGGATAACCAGGGTTTAGCTGGATACCACAGACAGGCATAGAGTTTAAATCAAGTACGGATAATTTCCCGGCAAAACTTCGCCATACCTGGACAGAAATCCAGATAACCGGATGCAGACGATGAGTCACAATAATGTGGCTGAAGACATGGTGACCAAACCACACACCAGAAGATGAGACGATGACGTTTCAGTCCGTCCTGGACCATTATTAAGTCGATTGTGATGGGCGTGAGGGAGGCACGGGCATTAATAAAGGCAAGGAGCAGGTAAGAAGAGGTAATTTGTAAAGGAAGGCAAGAGCAAGGCGAAAAGTAAGAACAAGAAGGAAGGTACGGATGGGATGGGTGTAAGAATGGGAACGTAAGAAAAACAGAAGAAGAAAAAGAAAGAGAAAAAGGGGGGTAGGATTATGTCAGGTCATGTTTGTTGGAAAGGTTAAGAAAATTTGAGTGTGTACTCTGAAAGGGAAGAGTCAACAGCAACAAAGCCAGGACTAAGGTTAATGTTGGGCATATTGTGTATCAGAGCAGGTTCGACAAGCTGGCGTCTGTGAAGAGTAAGAGGCAGGAAAGATTATTTTAGAAGACCAATCAATATGATGATTAGAATCCCAAAGAAAACTTTGATATGTTAATCCAGATAACCGGAGATTAAGTTACATAAATTTTCAAGAAGTACACATTTCAAGACTTACAGTATCAAACAAGAATACGAACTACAACATGGTAAGGGGGAGCTCCTGCTCCCCATTTACCATGCTTATTTCTGTGGGGAGCTCTTCCGGCTCCCTGGAACTATCGGACTGATATACGTAATATTAGTCTGGGGCATCAGTCAATTGGGGTTCAGCCTACCAAGGACCACGAGCAAGAACCTGGCCCTCTCAGAGAGGCACAGGTGGCCTATGGAAACCCCATGTGTTTGGAAGCATTCCAGGTTTGCCATCAACCAGGGTTAGGCAACCCAAAAGGTAGGCATAACAAAACAGATCCCACTTAGTAAGAAAATTGCAACTGAAGACCGAACAGAGAGGCAGAACTCCCCCAACCCAAGCAAACATCATACACCGCTGCCGTGCTGCTTGTGCGTGCAGCCCTCCCCTCCCTGGAAGGGGGAAGGAGGGAGCCCCGGACCCCCTGCACCGGCTACTCGCATCTCCAGTTTGTAGGCTGATGCGCTCTGGGGCAATCGTCGACTCCAGCCTCAGTTTTGTGGCAGTATTTGTGCCTAAATGGTGTATCCTGTTGTTTGTGGTGTGGTGGCCAGGTGAAATTAGAGTACTGGGGCTGCATGCGCTTAGGGCTACCTTCCCTAGGCACCCTGTAAGTACTACCCTTGTGTTCTAGGGTTACCTTCCATAGGGACTTCGGGACTCCACTTCTGCAGGGATTCTTGCTACTTGGCATTTACCCTGCCCTAAAGGGCCAAGTATAATGATCGCATCTTCATTAAATACAGTACAAGTTCTTTCAGGTAGATTTGAGTCTTCACAAATATACAATATGAGATAGATAATTTAAACCCATCTTATGGCCATTTATTTATTATGAAGCCATTCACTGCCTTTTCTCTATCAGAAATTGTTTGTTGTTTCTCATGACTGCATTGTATTTTTTCTCAGGCCCATGCTTGGCGCATCACTCGTTCGTGAGGGCCAAGCCTGGTCCACTTTCTGGGGTGCTATTAACGAAGATGGGTTCTATGCTCGATCAATTGACTACATGGACATTGTTAACAACAATAGAAGGTAAGTGAATATTTGTATTGTCTTGCAAATGTTAATGATATGGGATAGTGTATGGGTCCTCTAGCACAGTGGTTTACATCACATACATGACCAAGGATCCCAGATTCAATCCCTGGATGGAACAAACAGTTGGGCACATTTCCTTTCACTTGATACCACTGTTCAGCTAGCAGTGCCCAGAAGTTCGGCAACTATTGTTGCATCCTGGGAGAGGTGATCAGTAGTTGACCTAAGCAGACAGTGATCGCTTTATAGGTTTCCTGTCCCCCAACTATGGGAACCAGTGTTGTGAGCCATATTGTATATCGGAATCCTTTAGCATAGTGAATGCGCAGCTGAAAGTCATGAGTTTGATTTTCCTCAGCAAGAAAGACATTAAGGCGCATTTCCTTTACTCTGATACCTATGTTTACTTATCGGTAAATAGGTACCCAGGAGTTTGGCAACTGTTGTGGGTTGCATCTCGGGACAGTCAGTAACTGGTCTAGGAGCATCTTGATTAGCCTTAATAGGCTTCCTGTCTCCGGCATTGGATAACCTACATGCAGTGTACACAATATAATTGTTTATAAACTTATTTTATTCTTGTAAAGTTACTAATAAATTTTGTAAGACTTAATCAATACCTGTGTTTATTTAGTGGTTAGTCATGAAATGAGTTCTTAACATCTTGTGCAATGAATGTAGAAATATACACATGTTCCAAATAAGGTATTGCACTGGAATAATATATACGTAGCCAGAAAGGTAAGTGTTCCTTTAAATATTGTGTTTTTGTGCAACAAAATTATTTTACAGGAGGTTTTAAATGTACAGCGCACAATAGTATACAAGACTATCGAACATAAACCTGGGATGCTTCCAGTTGTAAACCTATTAGTTTGTGGTATAGACATAATGATTTATCAAATTTGGAACTGAAATGTGCCTTAAAATTACCTCTATCGATAAAAAGTTCTTTATAGACATCACACATCATGCTAAGTTGCATTTATTATTTTAACACTACAAGTACAGCTAAATATGACTTGTAGCTGCTTTATTTTTCCCAGTTATGAGTGTTAATAAAAAAATATTTACATTTTATTCATTGAGTTTTAACCAATTTTGTATTGATCAGTTTGAAATGTATTATTGAGGCCCGGTATTACAGTCGGGTTCGTTCTCGATGCACAATTCAGAATTCTGGGTTCAAATCCTTGGCGGGACAGAAATGGTTGGGCACATTTTCTTTTACCTAATGCCACTGTCCACTTAGCAGTAAGTAGGTACTGTACCCCAGGAGTTAGTCAGCTTGTTGTGGTGTTGCATCCTGGGCGGGCTCAGTAATTCGACCTTAGGGAAGGGGGGGGGGGGGGGTGGCGACCTCGATATAAGCCTAACATATATGAATACACACTGCTTCCTGTCCCCCAAAACAACGAATTATTATTATTTATTATTATTTATTATTATTATATGGTAGTCATGAGCTTACCAGAGTTTACCTGAAAACTACTAACACTAGTGGCCTCGGTGAAGACAGGAAGCCGACGGCTTGTCGAAGGTCCCCCCCCCCCCCATTTGCCTTGATGATCTTTTCCATTTGTACTTTAAATATTAACAGTTTTAGCATTTACGGCTTTGGTGGGTAGGCAGTTCCATTGGTTTATAACTCCGTGGGTGAAGAATGGTCTCCTGTTCTCAGTCCTACATTGTAGCTTGTTTCCCGCCCTGTGGGAGCATTCCCTCCTGTTGATGGGTCCTGGAGTACAGTGTTCTATATTATTAATTTGCTATCGAGACTCCTGAGTTCGATCCCTGGGTGTGGGACAGAAGTGGTTGGGCACAGTTCCTTTCACCTGATACATCTGTTCACTTAGCAGTAAATAGGTACTAGGAAGTTAGGCAACTGTTTTGGGTTTCATCCTAGGAAAGGTCATCAGTCCAACCTGTAAGGAACCTCAATACAAACCTTAGTTCTGGCTTCCTGTCCGTAGCAACAGGAATTATTGTTGTTCAAACAACAGGAATTATTGTCTGTTTATAGGGTTAAAGTTCAGTTATGAATTTATAGTAAGTCAACTTGAAAAGGTATGTGTGAACACCTGGTGTTATTCTTCAGCTATAACTTGCTCTTGTTAGGACCAAAGTGGCTGTTAAATTTTGGTCACCATATTTTAGAATGGACTTCAAAATTTACTTGAATGCTTTCAGCTAAGAATGACAAAGTTAATCCCAGGAATTAGAAACCTTTCATATGAAGAGAGACTAAGAAAGATTAATCTACATTCTCTAGAAAGGCATGTTAATTTACGTGTCTTAAACGTCTTACTTTACAGTCATGTCAGTTAAGGGTGACATGACTGAAGTGTACAAGTGGATGAATGGGCATAATATGGGTGGGTGGGGGGATATTAACAAGGTGTTAAATAAATCAACACAAAGCGATGGATATAAATTGGATTACCTGTACTTTAGATTTACGAACGATTTTTTTGGAAAACTGGTTTGGAAACAGGGTTGTTGATTTGTGGAATATATTACTGTGTAACATAATAGCCGTGGGATCACTTGATTGTTTTAAGTGTATGCTAGACACACATTTACCTGAGGGCCACCATCCTCAACACTGCAAACCAAGATTAGCAATGTTGTAGTGGCTTCGACGAGGACAGGAAGCAGGCAGCTTATCAACAGTCCTCCCCCATTTGTCCTGATGACTTGACCCAGTTGAATTTTGATCTGTAGCAATATTTGTTGGCATTTACAACTTTGGCAGGCGGGCGATTCTTTAGTTTTGTATCCCTAGGGTGAAAAAGCATCTCCTGTTTTCTGTTCTACGTTGTGGGTTGTTGATATTGAAGCTGTTGTTCCTTGTTTGAGCTACATCTGACCTTTTAAAGAAGTGGTCTGGATCAATATCCTCCAAATTGTTGTGTGTTTTAAAAGTTTGGATGAAATCAGCCCTGTCAACGTTGCTAATCTTGGTTTGCAGTGTTGAGGATATAAATAAGGTGGGTGGATATAAATAGTTGCTGCTTCGTATGGGCCAATGTACACTTCTACTGTGTCCTTGATTCATATGTAATTATGTATTCTTATGCTTGTACATACCATATTGTTTGTGGGGGAAATGATGAATGTTTTTTAAATTCACCAATTGTTACAGTTGAGTGGTGCAAACTAGAACTGCACTTTATCTGATAGTACACTTCATTAGCATAATATTTATTTCTTTTCACAATTATTTACATATAATTTTATATAATTTTCATACAATTTTCATCTTCATATAATTGTTTTGAACATAACATACTAATACCAGACATGAGCTGTAAATCAATGGCCTACAGTAGTTTATAAAATAAAGAATCATTGGTCATGCATGCAACTATTAAAGATTCGTATTGCCAGGCTTTTGCTAAAATAATTTTTTGTCGATAACATTTTTTTTCTGTTCCTAATTAGCTGTACTGTATATCCTTCTTTCCTAATGGCTGCAACATAGTATTAGGATGACTAAATTACATTTTTTTTTAGATATATACAAGAGTTGTTACATTCTTGTACAGCCACTAGTACGCGTAGCGTTTCGGGCAAGTCCTTAATCCTATGGTCCCTGGAATACGATCCCCTGCCGCGAAGAATCGTTTTTTCATCCAAGTACACATTTTACTGTTGCATTAAACAGAGGCTACAGTTAAGGAATTGCGCCCAGTAAATCCTCCCCGGCCAAATCCTTCCCAAAACATGAACTGTTTTGTGTTTTAACACTTTAACTGCGCCAGCCAACAAGTCATTCTGAGAGTTGTGTGGTTTTTTTTTTTTAACATACAGTATTGACATTAACTTTACCTGAACATTTATAAAAACAACAAAAATATATCCTGAACATTTACAGTATGAAGTTTTGCAAAAAAACAGGTGTGCAGTGCAGGGGTTAAAGAATTTTGTTTAATGGAGCTAACAATGATCTTTGTGTACATACTGATGTCAGTAGCACAGTACTATGTAGTATTTCTTTATCTTTATTCTTAAAATGTCGGTATGTTATCAACTTCAAAGCATAATTCTACTGAAACTCTGAATCGGGTTTGATTTCTCACTGGTTTTGGAGAATTTAATGGACCCATATTTTTGAGTCTTGGGCAATGAGTTGTCAAAATAGAAAATATTCCACTCCCTCTGGGTCACTGCAGACTCCAACATGGAGTAATTATAGTCACTCCAACATTATAACTTTCTCGACTCCAGAAACACTCGGATCTTTTCCATACACCCCTGTCTGGCCATATCAAATGAGACTCAAACACTAGACTTCTCAATTCAGCTTGAATGACCTTCTGTCTGTACATTTCCCTTCACTTTGAAACCTCTTACGTAATGATCTAAGTAAAAAGAAACTGCCAAATATTGCTCTGCTCCTCTTAACTACCACCAATTGCTTGCCAATCTGGTTGTTCCAGTTTCCAGGTGGCAAGACTGATTGTGAACTCATACTCATAAAATTATTGTACTTATAGCAACTATTTGGTTGAACATTTGAAAATGAACTGTTGAATCTAGTAATGTTTACATTTACTATTAATTTTGTAGAATGCAAGAAGCAGTTGAACATCCAGGCCCAGTATAGCATGTGTGTGTGTACAATAGTTGGCTTAAAGATAGCTCAACTCATTCCATGATAACCATTTAAGGCTGGATTACAAATTCACCAGTGTTTCTCTTCTCTTAAGATGGTCTGGCAGTGGCCTTTAGAAAAGATTACCATTAAGTCGAAGGTGAGACATTCACACTGGCCTAGACTAGAGTTTGCAACATCCCAGGGTGAGCAAACTATTGCTAATGGGAGTTACCAAATAACCAGCTCAGATTGGAGCTTTACATCTACATCTTTATTAGCTTTTATATTTTGACTATTCACGAATATAGTTTGGAATGATTTTTTCCAGTAAATTTGCCAATATTGTACTGTACATTTGTATTCATTTCATATATTTGAAGAATTATAAAAAAATAAAGAAAATTTTCTATGACTTAATAGTACTGTACAGTTGATATTTAACAAAGGGTTGGTTTTAACTGGGAATTCTTCTGGTACCAGTTTGGTTCTCTTGGTTTCTTGTTCTGTCTCTGGGCGGCTTTACTAAATACAGCATCTTCTGATTTTCTCATGGTTTCTCTGGTTCCTGTTTGCTTGCCTTCATTTCTTAGATGTTTGGCATTATATTCCAACTTCCAGCTTATTTTTTCTGGATTCCTTGGGAAAAGGTTCTTCAGTCAAGATAAATTTCTGCCACGGGTGTCCATTTTGCAAATTAGGGCATGAGGGATGGAGGCCTTGTTTAGTGTGCACTTGCACTGGTTGCATTGGCCTGTCTGAGCTCTCACACCTCGTGTACTGTATCTGATCTGATTGGTATAATCTCGAGGGATCTCTGTTCGAGGTATGGGGAAGTTTATGCCCCCTCTTGTTTTATGGGCATTTTCCTGCAGGGATGGGACCACATGTTAACCTCAGGGTCTTTGTATTTAGCTATTACGCCTTTTAACCATTTTGACCTTCCCTTTTCCCAGTCTTTGGGATGTTCAGGCAATACTTGGGAGGTTACATCCTGTCCGAGTCCAAGGCTTAGAGTAGGGGAGGTGAGGGATATCAGGTTTTCTTTCTGGCATTTCCCTGTCTCTTCCCTTTCAGTGTTTTTTTTCTTGGAATTATCCCTGCTTTTTATCCTGTATCAGGCACCTTTTGGGTATGCCCTGTGTTTGGTCCACAGAGCTCCTAACTGAAGGTTATGCTCCTTTATCAGTAGACCCTCTGCTTGTAGGGGCTGTTTGCCCTTTGTTCATAGTGCTTGTTTTATAATTTTAGACTTTACTCACTTGTTTCCTGGTTCCCTTGGTCCTCTTTCCGTTGCTTGGGGCTGGTGTCTCATATGTTGGTGACTGGTCAGTGTCCTGTGAAGATGTTTCATCTGTCTATATTTCCCTATGCTAATGTTTGTTAGATGCTTCCTACTCTTCATCTGGTAAATGTTTAGGCCTGCCTTTGGTGTATGTGTGTGTGTAATTACCCAAGTGTGGTTAAAGAATGAGAGCTATGCTCGGGGTGTCCCACCTTCCCAGTACTGTCATATAAGGCTTTGAAACTACTGGCAATTTTGGCCTCCACCATCACTACCCAATTTAAGTTGTTCCAACCATTTACTAATGTCTGCAAAAGAAAACTAATATTTTTCCATGTATGTAGGTGTAGCTTGAGGCATCGGAAGTTGGTTCTTTCCCTGATCACCTTGTGGCTTTGTACCATGTTTGTTCTCTTGTCAGTTGCCATGCTCTGGCAAGCTGCCTATGTCCTTATTTTGACTGGGGAAGTTGGCTAGGGTAAGCATCTGAGGGGCTCTGCTAATAAACCATTTAGGGCATTGAAATGCCCCATTCTGAGTGGACCATTAGTTGCTCTTGGCTTTTGGGAGCATATTTGGGTGGCCTGGGCTTTAAGTAAGGTTAGCTGGCTTCACTGACCCTAAGTGTGACCATGGGATGGCTAGTCATTAGATAATTTCCAGAAATTTAACTGGCTCTCCTTTTGTTGCGATTATCACTTGAAGGTTTTAGTTTTGATCTGATTTTTGGTCTTGGCCCTCTATCGTTTCCCCCCCCCTAGACTATTGCACAAAGTCTATTCAAAAGTTACTAGTCACAGAGGAAAGGTCTCCGAGGGCCTGGCATGTGAACAGTGTCCTGGGTGGACTCGGTCTATGGCTGGGGGTAGCACTTGCATGTCTGCTCAGAAAGGGGCATTTTAATACTGTACTTTAAATTTTATATTATTTTTGGCTTGAAAATAGACTAAATTTTCTTTGATGTGTGTACTTTCAGTGCACAAAAATTTTTGCTATGTAAATTGAACTGCTACTCATTTCATAATAAGACTTGAGAAAAATGATAGTATGGAGAGTGAGCAGTATTGCCGACCACTGTATTCTCTGATGGTGACTTACTCAAGGCACCGTAAATATGCAGATATTGGTCACTTGGAAGTCATCTACCATTGAATAATGTCTACATTAGGTTCATCCTGTTCATAATGGAAGTCATTTGCCCATACATAAGTACACTGGAATTGTCACATCAGGAGTAACAGTGCATATGTTTACTTGGTTCTTCAATTTGGTTTTAAATTATCATAAATTATTTATGACTTAATTAAACTGTGCAATATAGGTGGTACGAAAGGCTTTAGTGTCCACTGCATACTTATTGTTGGCATGGCATTCATAGATGCCAGCATCTGCTTGTGTTGCTGGGTCAATTTCCATTTTGCTCTTCAGGTGGTCACCCTTCTTCCACTCGTGTAGCTAAAAGAAATAATGAATGTTAATTTTCAGATTTTAGGAAATTGATTAACCTCTGCTTGCTACCTTTTTATTCAAAACCTGAAAAATAATACATCAAATTAAAACTGTTAATCCATCACATTAACATCTGTCTGTAGTGGCCATATTCCACACGTCAGGCCTGAAGCTTTAGCAGGTGAACTGAGTATTCTGGGTAAGTGTAGATATAAATAAATTCAATATAATTTATTTAAAAATCATTTGCTATTAATCACTTAATTACATTTGAGTACCCAGGCACTGGATGCCTGGGTACAACTGAAATGTTGGAAACCTAGGTCATCATTTCCTACTCAGGGAAATAAACCAAACTTGAGGAAAAAATGGGATTCATCTTAAAAATTAAGTGGGAGCCCACCAAACACAGTGAAACTACGACGTCGCTACAACGTTCGAGCAAGATTTAACACCTAACAAGTTATAACAACCAATATAACAAGTTGTAACACGGTTCTAATATGTCAAAAACACGTTAAGCAAGATGTAACAACTTTATTACAAGTTATAACAAGCGAAAAATAGGGTCAGTTACGGTTTGTGTTTCCAGGGAGAGGGTTACAACAATCCTCCCAGTCTCAAAGATGTCCTCTGGCCTCAGGGGATCTACTCAAGAGAGATGAGAAAGTAAATCGGACTGGTTTCTCAACTATTGACTCGCAGGACTTCATCTTTGACCAGGAAAGAGGACAGGTTTACTATTGAGTCCTGCTGGGAAACATAACATAGTCTTGGACAAACGAGTAGCAAAATTGATGGCTCCAAGGAAATTGCCTCTTTACTATACTGTACTTCCAAGAGAAGAAACAAATACACTTCTCACCCAAAGGAAAGTACTACTGAAAACTCCTGTAGAAGCTTTGAACAAAATTTACAACTCCCACCTCCCAGACGAATAAAGAAGAGTGCCCGTAAGCTTCCATCCTTGCGCTTACCAGTGCATGAGTGAGAAAATCCAAGAGAGACGAACACAGATTGAAAGGACCCTTAGAGAAATCAGACACTGAATGTAATTAAATTACCCTTTGTGGTTGGCTCCCTGTATCTACCCTATTCCCTTCATTCCATTGGGATTTGGAGAGTTGGGTTGGGGGGGGGGTATTTACTGCTTGGGCAACTCAAGAATGAGGTTGCTAGTTGGTGCTGACCCCAGTTGACCTGAGCTGCCATCTGGTGGCTGTCAGATACATTATGGCTAGGGTATTTATCATGTGGCTTTGCAGCTCTTAACACTATAGCTCATGATGTTTGAGATGCCCTGTTATAAAGGACATTTCATTACATACAACACTTAATTTCCTCTGTATTGAGTACCAGACAATACTTTTTTCACCCATAGGGTTATAGACCCATGGAATGGCCTACCCTTCATAACTGTAAATGTTGCAGGACTCTGTGGACCTCCACCAGAGTTTCCTCTGGCTTCATCTTGGCCAGGCATATGTTCCTGTCAAGGCCACTAAGGAGACAGTAGCTCTCAGGTATATTAAGATAAATTTATGGATGTGGGATATTTCTAACCACTTGGAAAATGATGAAAAAAATGGTTGCCTTAGCACACAGACTGTTCCATTTTACACATAATATTGCTGTACTTAATTTGACATTTTTTTTAAACTGACCTAAATTTTTAATAAAATTTTAAGGGGAAAAAAATTAAAGGAGTTGGAGAATTGACAAAGTTTGACTGGTCTTACCTGCATATATCTGTGAGCATAAAGTTCAACACCATCTTTAAACCAAGTTATCTGTGGCAGTGGAGAACCTCTGGCAACGCACAGAAATACAATCTTGTGACCCAATACGTACTGGTAGTTGAAGTGGGAGGATTTTGTGATTTTAGCACCCTGTAAAGTGAAAATCAACATTTCTATCTAACATTATACAATATATATATATAGTGTTTGTAGAAACTGAGAACTTTGTTTTATGACTATTAATTGTGTCATTCATTGCAAATTTATTTAAACTGCTCTTTATCTTGGAAAAAACATATTAATGGCTTTATATAATGTTTATTTCTTACCTACAAATTCTCCTCAATATCATATCAATTGTACATACTGAACTTTAATTTTATTTAAATAGTTATTATATCACAGTCTCATCAAAGCTATTCAAGCAAACACAGCATAGATGAAATGTAATAAAATTATGCATTATTTACTGAATGTGATGAAATAATGAATAAAACTAGTGTATCAAGAATAAAACTGGCAGTTGTGCAGAAGAGTTGACCCTTCTGGGGTCCTTGAAGGCTCTGGAGACTGCTATCGTTTCCTCCATGTCCTTGTTTCTTTGGGATGTGCATGGGGTTCAGCTCCTTAGGATTCATGGTATCCTTTGTTGATACCTTGCTTATATTATTTTGAGGTTTCATGGCCCTGGGCAACATGTAGGCTTCATCCCTAGTCCTCTTTTGGCTGGAGGTGGTCTCTGGGATTCTGGGTTGCTGGAGGAGGGTTCTTGGCCATTATTTGAGCTACTTTAATGATTGATTCTTGGTCGTGAGGAGTTGTTGCTCAGAATGGGTGTGTTTTCATATCCTCCATTGCAGTATGAACTGGACTTCACCACCACTACTCTATAGTTTCTTTTCCAGGTCTAGGTCCATGGTCCTTGGATTGGATATGACTTCACCCCTTGCACAATTTTCTGTTGTCTGATCTGTTGAAGCAAGTCTGATCGAGCTTGGCTCTATGAGACTTGCTACAGTTCCTATTGCAAAACTGAGACTGCGCATTTAAACTGGACCCTAACACTCTGGCGCACAGGTCCTCTTTCACTTCATGGCTGTGCAGATAAAGAGTCACAATAGTGTGGCTGAAGATATGATAACAAAACCACACACCAGAAGATGAAGAGACTACAATGTTTCTTGTCCTTCTTTGGCCCCATTATCAAGTCGATTGTGATGGGAGTGAGATTGATCGATGAAGATTAAGCCACCCAAGAGGTGGCATGGGCCTGAGTAGCCTGTAAATGGGAGCGAGGGAAGCACAGGCATTAAATAAGGCAAGAGAGAGGTGAGGAGCAGGAAATATCTAGAATGTAAGGTGGGGAGCAGGTAAGAGAAGGGCATTCCTAGTAGGTAAGAGAAAGGCTAAAGATACGAATGGGATGTGTAATAATGGATGAAGGAAAATAGGTAAGAAAAAGGAAGGGGGTAGGCTTATATCAGGTCACGTTTGTTAGGAAGGTTAGAACATTTTAATATGTACTGTGAAAGGGAAGAGTAAGTAAGTAATTATCAAAAAGAAGCCACCAAACCGGGAAGGTTATGTAGCACCATTAAATGTGCGGGATAATCAGAGGGCGCTAAATATCACCAAGGACGCCAATACGAGAACAGAAACGCATAAAGTGAATGTGAAAGGGAAGAGTCAACAGCAACAAAGCCAGGACTATGGTTCATGTTGGGTATGTTGTGTATCAGTCTTGTCGAATTGGCTCTGATTTTTTACCATATTCAGCTTTACCTTGTTTGTGTTGTGCTTGGCCATGAGGGACATGGTAACCATTCTTCTCTTGTGGGTAAGCCCAGTTCCCTTTTTCTATTTTCCAGGGAAACTGACCTCTAGCAAGGTGCTATTGGTAGTAAGTTTGAGAAGCTACCCAATGATCTCACCTGAAATAGTGTTGAACGTAACGAAACTCCTTTTTCAGGTGGAATCCCAGATACTCTCCGTCCTATTCCTTTCTTCCTTATGTGATTGAAGGGTTCGGTATGGATTACCTGGGGCTACCATCTGGTGGCAGTCGGGCACGTCATGTTTAGGAAATTTACCATGTGGGAATGATTGATTGCCCTGTTTGCCATGGGATGCCTAATTTCCTTCAAGCAGTTGGTTATGTTGTTGCACTTATGATTTATGGTGGCTTGGTGGTACCAGTACTACGTTCAGTGAGCTACTGGATGCCCACAATAAGAACAGTTAATTATATTCAATCCTTGATTTATAATGATATATTCTCAACCAATCAGTTTTTTTTTGTTTATGCTATTGCACTAACCTTGGGGTTTGTGTAGTATTCCTTAGCTTCCACTGAAGGATATGTTCCAGTAATGGGTTTAAAGTCCTTCCGACCCTTGTAGCGGCCTGAAAGTTGACCTCGCTTGCCTGTACCTATGGTCTGGGTAGCCATCGCTACATTCAGCAGTATGAGAACCATTGTTATTGTTATCTGCCATGACTGCTCCTTCATTTTTTCTGTTGTGTTGGTTATCTGCAAATACAAGTTAAAGACCCATTATTATCTTGAATATTTAGTACTACTGCTAATTTCAGTTAAGGGATGTCATGTACGGTAGTGTTGTGCTGTTAGGTATTCTTGGACAATATCATTAGTGTTAATGCATCACCTTGAAACTTAAAATGTCTAAAAATGAAGTTTCCTATTGGAAGTTTTTCCAATTATCCACCTTGTGGCCACTCTTTGTTTAGAACTACAGTAATAAATAATAAATCCTTTTTTTATTTATTATATAGTCCTATTAGTAATAAATAATAGTCCTTTTTTAACATGTGACAAAGGGAACTACAATTTTTTTTATTCCTAATGTCAGAGGATGTGCCGGATGGTCTATAAATATTGCAACCACATGAATTTTTTTTTTTTTACTGAAGCAAATGTTTGTCACTTTCTTGATGGCATCTCAAAAGTAATTTAAGATAATCACTTCAGATTTAGCCTTTGGATCCCTTCGAGTTATATACTGTACAAATTTTGAACATGTGCTTACTATCATAGTGAAAGTTTTAAGGACAAGGCTAATTGTGTTTTATAGGATGATATTTTTGGCCACTACAGCACAGTATTTATGGTAGTATTTATTTACTCGCCATCCTCCTTTACGCCAGCGCGACAAGACTGTCTTCAGCAGACACTCCAAATAGGTCAATCACTTTCACTTGAGCTCTGTCTGCAGATTTCTCCACATTAGGTAGCAGTACAAAATTCTGAACACTGAGGTCCTGAAAAGGTTCAGTATTCCCAGCATCTATACCCTACTACAGAAAACTCAGGCTGGTGGGGCAGGCCACGTTGTCAGAATGCCTGACAGCTGATGCATGGAGAATTATGTCAGGGCGCACATTCAGTTGGGGGAGGGGGCAGAAGAAATGATTCAGGGACTACCTAAAGGTGACCCCTCAAAGACCTGGGGTCAGATTCACGAAAGCACTTACGCAAGCACTTACGAACCTGTACATCTTTTCTCAATCTTTGGCGGCTTTGTTTCCAACTATTAAACAATTAATGAGCTCCGAAGCACCAGGAGGCTGTTTATAGCAATAACAACAGTTGAATGGCAAGTTTTCATGCTTGTAAACTGTTTAATAAATGTAACTAAAGCTGTCAAAGATTGAGGAAAGATGTACACGTTCGTAAGTGCTTGCGTAAGTGCTTTCGTGAATCTGGCCCCTGGACATCAACCACTTGGAAGTAGCTTGCTCAGGACTGGCCAACTTGGCAAAGCAAGGTCATCACAGGGGCTCATGTGACAGTAGATGGACTGCAGGGACCTAGAGAAAATGTGTCTTGCACAAAGCTGGAGCAACCTCCATCACTACAGCAGCACCCAGAGTGGTTCTGCTGTAGTGCCCACCCATTCATTCTTAGCAGAGCTAAGAATGAATATTTTAATACAAGGTGAGTATTGGAAAGGAACTACAAGAACAATATTTTGATCAAAGCGAAAAAGCAATCTAAATTACAACATAGTGTAGTCATGTAAGAAGGAAAATGAGGGTGAACGACCAAGTGATAAGACTATGGAAAATTGGAGGTGCATATAAAGACTATGGAAAATTGGAGGTGCATATACAGAATGCAACGAGAAAATCTGTGAACTGCTGAATGACATTTTCCATGAGTGTTTACAACCAAGCCTGAGCAGCTCCCATTGTTTGAAGAAGAAATGACCCTAGACGAGAGACTAATAGATATAGAGGTGACAGCAGAGGAGGTAATGAAACAACTAACACTGGATGAAACTAAAGCAGATAAACCAGACAATGTATCATCGTGGATACTAAGAGATAGCGAAGGCCCTCAGTGTGCCTCTAGCAAAGATCTCTAATGAGTTGCTTATGAAGGGAGAGTTGCCCAGTTGCTGGAAGAAGGCAAATGTGGTACTAATTTTCAAGAAAGGAGATAGGGAAGAGGCACTTAACTACAGAGCAGTATCACTGACAAGCATCCCCCATAAAGTGCTCGAAAGAATAATCAGGTTAAGACTGGTTACACACTTCGAGAAAATTAAGTATGTAAACACCAACATGGGTTCATAAAAAGAAAATCATACCTAACAAATCTTCTGGAATTCTATGATAAAGTAACAAAAATAAGACAAGAAAGAGAAAGATATTTTTGCATATTTCTGGACTGCCAAAAAGCCTTTGGTATAGTACTGAACAGGAGATCGCTATTGAAACTTGAAAGGCAGGCGGGAGTAAGCAGAAAAGCCCTAGCTTGGGTTAATAATTACTTTACAGGTAGGCGTCAGAGTAACAGTCAGCGACAAGAAGTCAGACTAGTGACCTTTAACAAGTGTAGTACCTCAAGGATCGTTGCTGGGACCATTTCTATAATACAGTACTGTATACGTAAACAACATGTCGACAGGAGTAGAGTCCCATATGTCTATGTTTGCAGATGACAAAATTGATGAGAAGAGTTGTGACATAAGGATTGTAGGATCCTCTAAGAAGACTTGAACAGGTTGCAGGTAGTCAGAGAAAAGGCTACTGGAGTTAAACACAAGCAAATGTAAAGTTATGGAAGTGGGATTAGGTGACGGGAGACCAAAGGGAAAGTACACAATGAAAGGAAACTACCTGTGCTAATTCGAGAAAAAGACCTGGGAGTGGACGTAACACCCAACTCCTGAGGCACATATAAATAGCAAGCACTATTCATAATTTTAAAACTAGATATGATAGGGAAATGGGACAGGAGTCATTGCTTTAAATAACAAGCGGCTAGAAGGGCAGAATTGACTCTTGCTTTATTGAGCAAGACCAATGCTAATTGGTCTAATACCAATTATATAATACAATAATACAATGCTAAATGCTTAATACTAATTGAGCCTAAAGAATAAAAAGTGTTGTATTTGTTCTCAACACTTTTTATTCTTTATGCTCAATTAGTATTAAGTTCTAGATATTAATGTTTTTCTTGCCCGAAACGCATTGCGTAATAGTGGCTTTAGGCATTGTATGTACTAGCTCTAGGCATTGTATGTACTAGCTCTAGGCATTGTATGTACTAGCTCTAGGCATTGTATGTACTAGCTCTAGGCATTGTATGTACTAGCTCTATCTATATATCAATCCATTAATGTAACATCACTTATATGTATGTACCTTACCTGAATAAACATATTTATTATTATATAATGCTCGATCCTGTTGGAACAAATTGGCGAGTACAAATAGGCGAGTGTACACACGCACGCATGTGAATGTTTACTGATGATACTAAGATAATAGAGAACTTAAGAAACATAGATGATTGTCATGCCCATCAAGAACTGGACAAAATAAGTATATGGAGCACCACTTGGCAAATGGAATTTACTGTGAATAAATGCCATGTTACGGAATGTGGAATAGGAGAACATAGACCCCACAGAACCTATATATTATGTGAAAAATCTTGAAAGAATTCTGATAAAAAAAAAAAGAGAGATCTAGGGGTGGTTCTAGATAGAAAACTATCACCTGAGGACCGGGGGGGGGGGGGGTAAAAATAGCCTAAGCTACTCTATCTCTGAGATGTATTCTTGTCTCAATAAACATACTTGAACCTGAGGCCCACATAAAGAACGTTGTGTGAGGAGCCTATGCTACGCTTTCTAACTTCAGAATTGCTTTTAAAAACATGGAATGGCGAAATACTAAAGAAATTGTTCACAACCTTTGTTAGACCAAAGCTGGAATATGCCAACCCGTTCTCGCACTTGCTTAAGTCAATATTGGCTTATTTAATAAGTGCATATGTGACATACTAATTGATTGTGAATATTTTAGTTTACCTTGAAAAGCTTCATAGAAAACACCGACCTCACCTAACCTTCTTAGTATGTTAAGATACGGATCTTATTGCTTCTTATTTACAATTATTACTTAACCTATCAACGGTATAGGTTAAGTAATAATTGTAATTAAGAAGAAATAAGATGCTTATCTTAAGATACTAAGAAGGTTAGGCGAGGTCTGTTTTCTATGAAGCTTTTCAAGGTAAACTAAAATATTCACAATCAATTAGTATGTCACATATACACTTATTAAATAAGCCAATATTGACTATAAGCAAGTGCGAGAACGGGTTGCATATGCAGTGGTTGTATGGTGCCCATATCTTAAGAAGCACATCGACAAACTGGAAAAGGTGCAAAGACATGCCAATAAGTTGCTCCCAGAACTGAAGGACAAGAGCTACGAAGAGAGGTTATAGGCATTAAATATGCAAAAAACTAGAAGATAGAAGAAAAAGAAGCAATATGATCACTACGTACAAAATGGTAACGGGAATTGATAACATTGATAGGAAAGAATTCCCGAGACCCGGAACTTCAAGAACAAGAGGTCATATATTTAAACTAACGAAACAAAGCTGCCGGATAAGAAAATTCACTTTTGTAAAGAGAGTGGAAGACGGTGGAACCAGTTAGGTGAGAAGGTGGTAGTGGTTGTCAAAACTGTCGGTAATTTCAAAGCGTTACATGACAGAGTACTGGGAAGACGGGACATCACGAGCATAACTCTCATCCTGTAAATACACTTAGGTAATTACACACACACACACACACACACACACACACACACACACACACACACACACACATTTCAGTTCTTGCACCAGTGATGTTTATTGTGTACATAAATGATCTACCAGTTGGTATACAGAATTATATGAACATGTTTGCTGATGATGCTAAGATAATAGGAAGGATAAGAAATTTAGATGACTGTCATGCCCTTCAAAAAGACCTGGACAAAATAAGTATATGGAGCACCACTTGGCAAATGGAATTTAATGTTAATAAATGTCATGTTATGGAATGTGGAATAGGAGAACATAGACCCCACACAACCTATATATTATGTGAGAAATCTTTAAAGAATTCTGATAAAGAAAGAGATCTAGGAGTGGTTCTAGATAGAAAACTATCACCTGAGGACCACATAAAGAATATTGTGCAAGGAGCCTATGCTATG